AATGGAATGGAAAAGTGAATGACTAATATTGAAAAAAGATAGCACACTGGGGGGTTTGGACATAGAGACCAATTAAATTGCAAAACAAATATAAGAAGAAAAAATGGCTGGGTGAAGAAGAAGGGGAAGACCAAGAAAGTTGGGACTAATGGAGATAAGATTCCTAAAAAGTAAAAAAAAAAAAAAAAAAAAGGTCAGCTATCCCAGAATAAAAGGCAAAGTATGGAAGCAGTAGGTGTTTGTGGTCACTCATACCTCGGTCACCTCCCATTTATATTATTGCAATGCGTTATACTGTACATAGGGAAGCCCTTGAAGACCACATGGAAACTTCAGCTAGTCCAAAATGCAGCAGAGCAGATAGTAATGGAAATAGATTTGTTCTGCAAGCTGCACTTTTATCCATGTGTATTGTTCAGAGTGATGTATATTTTATGCATATTATTAACTTTATTTATAATAAGTTATTAAGCTTACCTTAGAGCAGGAGTGTCAAGCTGGCGGCCCATGGGCCAGATGTGTCACATGCAGGCCACCCCACCTCAGCTCCACAAAGGCAAAAAACATCACGATACATCACGATACATCATGTAAAGCAGTTGAGTTTGACACCGTGCCTTAGAGTCTTGAATAATTGGGCAGACATATATTGCAGATCAGATAATGTTATTAGGGTTTGCTGCACATTCCATTCTGTCTTCAAATGGAGGAGGAGGAGGACGAGGAGGAGGAGGAGGAGGAGGAAAAACACTGTTCTATCATGATCGGAACAACTAGCTCTTGTATCTTTTTTAACTTTAAATATATTTTTAATAGTAACAATTTTAAAACTGTGAATGAAAGAAAACATTATTTTCAGTCACTTTGTTAGTGTACAGCTTGAATGTGGTTAAGGCATTCTAAAACACAGCAAGATAAAGGCATTTGAACTTCATCTTTAATGAAGGGACATTGAATTCTCTAGTTCACTTGTGGTACAGCTGCCTATGCCTACAATCTGTGTCTGGATATAGACATATATCCAGTGTATAGACATACACTAATAAAAGTAGCAGGAAGATATAGGGGAACCATTGGAAAATATCTAATATATATTAAGCATTTGGACATGTTGGAAATGTTGTTTTTATTTAGAAAAATAAAATAAGCACTGTTTTAAACATTAAATATGCACAATAAAAAACATTTCAATTCTTTAAAAATGTAGCTCAGTAGAGGCAAGTTCTAAAGTATGCAAGCATACACATATTTTAACTGCTGTATTTAGAAGCTGCCCTATTTCTTTCCCTCTCTTCCCCATGTCCCAGCCAGATCCATCTATATCTGCCAAGGAACAAATGAAAGAATGAACAAGGATCAGATTCACTTTGGGACACTCCACTCCCCAGGCATTGTTACATTTACGCAGCATAATTCTGCCTCTGGCTAACAAGCAGAAAAGGTGGGAAGCTGGCCAAGTAGAGGTTACCATGACTCCTAAGTCCCAGTGGTGATGCATTTTTTAGCTACCGGTATGAACAGTGGGATGAATTTTGGGTATAAAGTAGACAATAGCTGCCTTCACAGAATGATTTTTGAGAATGCACTCAATATTTGGATAAAAGAATGTGACTTTTATGGATAATATTTTGCAATTACGCAACAGAGACTCAAAAAAAAAAAGAACTGAATTTTTCACCTATTGCTTTTTTCTTGAATGTGTCAGAAAATGACGAACCTTTGTATCCTATATTAAATAAATTCTGCAAGTGACCCTTAAAGCACAAACTCTGTCCCTCCCTCCACCACGGATTTTCCCTTCCAGAGACAATGAAGTTGTCTGTGTTTGCATGTATTATTTGCGTTTTGCAAGATGGAAAGTTTATACCCCCAATTCTGAGTGTTGAAAAATACTAATATCTTGAGTTTTGCTGAACAGGAATTTGAACAGTGCAAATTCAGCAACTCCCCCTTTGTCCCTTTCCTTGGGCAAGTTTTGCAATCCACATTTATGAAATCAGCACAATGATTTTGTTGTTTTTATATGGGGGCTGGTTTGTCTTGCTTCTAGTTCTTTAGAGAGGGTTATCACTATAATTTCTTGGATGTTATTCTGTGTGACTAGAATTCTCAGAGAAATAACAAAAATACAACACAATTTATGATCTTAAGCCTGGATCAGTACCCAGGAAGATATCTCTACTGATTTTGGCAGTGCAGTTACTGCAGTTGTTCACAAAAATAATGAAGATATGTTTAGGGCAGTGGTTCTTAACCTGTGGGTCGGGACCCCATTTGGGGTCGAACGACCATTTCACGGGGGTCGCCAAACAATGCAGTCCGCCATTTTTTCCCCCTTTTCCTTAGCTGTGCTGCTCCCTTTTATTCTATTGGCTTTTGAAAGCCAATAGAATAGACGCTGTTGAATAGAGTCTAGTTCTATTGACTTTCAAAAGCCAATAGGAATTGTCCAGGCTGTCTCTGCCCTGCTGAGCCCACCAAAAGTCCCATTCTGCAAACGGTGCTGCACCAGTTGAGTAGTCCTCGACTTACGACCGGTTGAGTAGTCCTCGACTTACGACCGGTTGGGGGTCGTGGCATTAAAAAGGTTGAGAACCACTGGTTTAGGGTATTTCAGACATAGTCCAGTAAGATGAAAAGACTGATTTGTGCCATGTGATTTGAATAAAAATGTGCTTTCATTATGGCTGACATATTTTTTCCCAAACAGATATATAGCACCTTTATTTCAATGCTTTTTTTAAATTATGATTCCTTAACTAATTGCATTGCTTTTAAGGGCTTTTTAATTCATATCAGAATACTGATGAAAATGGGGGAGGAACGAAGACCCAAAAATATTATGATTAATTCTGAGCCACATTTAATCTTAATTAAGTGATGAAGTAATGCAGATATCTTTTGTCAATTTCCTTTTCAGTTAAACTTTGATTATCAGTATGACATTAAATACATGGGGTGGGGGTGGGGGTGCTGCTAAGGAATGCAAACCTTTTCCTTAAACAGAGTGGGTTAAGCTGCATGAAATTGATAGAATAACTCAGTTTTCTGGTGCCTGAAAACAAAATGCTGATTCTTCTGGCACTTCTAAGAAGTCTTCTCATTTCTGTATAATAATATTACAAATTATTTAGTCTTATAAACCGTATACTTAGAACAGGAGTCTGCAACCTTAACAACTTTAAGACTTGTGGGCTTCAGCTCCCAGAGGCTGAGGAATTCTGGGAGCTGAAGTCCTCAAGTCTTAAAGTTGTCAAGGTGGCAGACCCCTGACTTAGAAGTTGATATAGATAGTGAGTAGAGTTCCAGTTTGTAACAGTGTCTATTTCTGGGGTTTTGGTACTTCTCCAAGAAGTAAGGGAAAATGTGCACCATTTATTTTTTCAGGGAGTCATGTAGATGTACTCATGGTACTGAAAAGTAATGCCAGTGTAGCAAATCAGCTCTTTATAAATGTTTGTTGCTATGTAACTTGAGTATTTCTAATCAAAATTAATTTTCACTTGAAGGCAGAATGTAAAAAATAATTCAGATCAATATAAGGCAATTTTATATGCTTTATTATGACTCTTTGTATTTCTCTTTCAAAAAGCAACAACTATGTCTCCATATGAAAAATATATTCTAAATTAAACATTATTGATAAAAAGTAATAGTTATATTCTCTACAGGCATACAGATCACTCCATAAACAGTTAATATTTCTAATAATTCATTGTGTGCTCTCAAATATGGAATTTATTCTATTATTGTGAACTATTTTTCTTTGTTGATTGAATAGTTACTGCCAAGTGAAAAATTATTCACATTTCACAAACATAAATCCTTAACTAGAATTTTAACTAAATTATTATGTAGCTTGCTGCTTCAGTCTTTCTCTGTATATTGAGATTAAAATACAGGTAATGATTAAGGCAACAGGCTAAAAATTGGGAGACTGGAGTTCTAGTGCTGCCTGAGGCATGAAGCCAGTTGGGTGACTTTGGGCCAGTCATTCTCTCTCAGCCCTAGGAAGCAGGCAGTAGTAAACCACTTCTGAAATCTTGCCAAGAAAGCTGCAAACGCCAGTATTTTTTTTTTTTAAAGTCAGACTGAAACTGACTTAGCAAATTGCTCATTAAATGACCATTCACAAAAACAATAGGAATAGCAGTAGAAATAAATCATTTTCCTTTTTGAGGGGATGTAGTTACACCCAAATTTGGTGCCAATTGCTTTAGTGGAAAAAATAAATATTTCATAAACAGCAGGTTATTGCTATTATAAACTGATAATTATTACAGTAAAGGTAATAGTCATAGTTTTAGGTTACAATATTTAGCAGGATCTTCAAGCATTTACATAGGTTTGCATAAGGTGACCAAACGTCCTCCTTTAGGGAGGACAGTCCTCCTTTTGTAAGTTCTGTCCTCCCTCGAAAAGTGTCCTCCTACATGTCCTCCTTTTTGATAGTTGAAGACTAATCTGTAGGGCTTTTTTTTTCCTCATAGAACGCTTAGAATGGCGTTCCGGCACCATTTTTTGATGTTTTTTTTTTTCAGCTTTTGCATGTGCTGTGCTATCCCACTATTGGCTTTTGAAAGCCAATAGGAATTGTGCTGAGCACGCCAAAACACCCAGTCGGCAAACTTTGCACATGCAAGTTGTCTATATTATTGTTGGAATGAATAAAATGTTTCTTTTATTTACGATATTTTTTCTTCAATTTATTTGTGTCCTCCTTTTCATTGTAAAAAAGTTGGTCACCTTAATTTGCAGCATGAGTCTCATTGCTAAGTAGCATATATTTCTGTTTCGTCCAATTAAAAATATTTTGCCTATTTAGGGTAAAAGTATATTATTCCTTTTCTTTTAATTATTGAAAAAAAAATAGTTAAATATATCCTGCCAAAGAGCTCAGGAGGTGTTCAGAGGGGGAATGACATGATCATGTGATATACTTTTTTAAGGGTCTCCTAATATGGAACTGTTTCATGCTGTATTTCTTAATTCTATTATAGTGTTACGAAAAAAATAAATGGAAAAAACAGACGAAGAATTTGATCATATAAGAACTAAACAAGGTAATCAAATATTATCTGTACCTTTGTATAGTCTCATACATGCTATTTACATAATGTTTCAATACAAACTTTTAACTTACCATATGAGTACAGTGTACAAGTTTATCTTGCCCTAAACTTTTGTTTAAATATTTTGGATTCATTATCGGAAAGTGAGGTTTATCAATGAAGAGAACCAAATCGAATTCCTGATTTAAAGTATATGAAGTAATGTTATTCGATCACAACCAATGTGTAATGCAATGGCTTTCCTTTGAATTGAGAGACCTATTTATATTTACCTGAGAGTATATGTATTCCATTCTAGGAATGAAATATGACAACATCATAATGTTTTACCAGATAGATTTGCTTGGAAAAACATTTTAGGAAGACCTAATGATATTTTGGAATAAAAGAATTAATATTTCTAAAGCAAAGTCTATTATGATGAAAGTAACAAATAATTTTAAAAAATGATCAAATATAGAAATTCCAAAAAGAAACTCAGGAAGTTGACTTTATAGTACAATCTATTAAAAGAAACATAATTTACCTAACTACTGATACGGGGCTCATTGCACTTTGGGGGCGCTATATGGGTCATGAGGGCCATCTTTTTCTTCTAATTGAAGACAATATATGAGGATATATAGGTGGATCATTTCACTTTATCAAATGATCTGCTTTCCTGCTTAATATGACTTTTTTTTAAGAATGCATAACAAACGTATTTACCTTTGTTGCTACTGTCTGAATGCTGATTTAAGAAATCTGTTTCGTTCTCTGAGTTTAAGAAGCTAATCAGAGGGACTGGATATTTGTTTGCATAAAAGCTGTTTTTAGATTGAGAATTTGATTTTTCATTCTTAATAGTCTGGTAAATTTGCATCACATTTTTTTAATTTTTTAATTATGAAATTTGAGCTACATTGATACCTCAGCACCCATCATTAATGGGTTTTGAGAGGCGTGATGAACACTAGAAACAAGTGTCAAACAAACCATGTGACTTACAACATGGCCCTTTCTTTTGGCAGGAAGGTCTTCCTGTCTGACCCTTTTCCTATGACTAACTTCCTGTTCATCTTCTGTGGCTATCTCCCTCTTTTTTTGCAGCAAACTTCCTGGCATGGCTGACTTCTTGTCTGTTCCCCATGCCCATTTCTCTTTTCCTGTCATAGCACATTAGGTACCAAACAAACACGAGTACTGGGACATTTCTGCACCAAAATGCATTGAGTACCATGTTTTGAAGTAGTCAAGTACTGAGGTACTACTGTATCAGTATATCACTAGCCAAAATGTATCCTTAGTTTTCTGCAAATGATTTTGTCATAGATCTGTTAGATAAGTATACTTTAAAGTTTAAGTAGTTTTTCAATATTGAAAACATGCATAATTGTAACCATTTTTTTTATGATTTGTACCATTTTTCAAATATGAATTTGAGATTTGCTTTTCCTCATAAATGCTTAGCAATTATTTTTTTCAAATTTATTTCCATGAGTGCCAATTGGCATAAACCCGTAGATCCGATCTTGTGGTAAAATAGTATGTACAAGCTCGTTTCTATGGGTCAGTGTCAGTCTGGTGATTTAACGGAAGTGTAAATAGCAAGGTATATCAAGCATCATTATTGATTTCTAGGCAACTATTTTCAAGCAATCATTGTTTACCTATTAATACATACATACATACATTCCAGGAAAATGCTTTTAAATTATTTTTAAAACAATATAACCAATAAACAAAATCCAATAAGGAAAAACTGAAGTTGGCTTTCTTAGTACATATAGTACTTAGTACATATAGAAATGTAGTAGCTTGGGAATACAAAATTGGCCATTCCACAGCTGGCAGTAAACATTGTACAGGTCTGCAAGTCTATGGATTATAAGATATAATAATTACAAGTGATTACATCCCATTGGGATTTATACTCTTGTAAATGATGTTGGTGGAGGAAGAAAGAGAGAAAGAGATGAATGGATGTAGATGGGAACATAAAAATACCTAGAGGCATTAATGGTAGGGGTTTATGCATATATTGTACAGGTATTCCTCAATTTACAACAGTTCATTTAGTGACGGTTTGAAGTTATAATGCCACTGGAAAAAAGTGACTTATGATCATTTTTCACACAACCGCTGTAGCATACCCATAGTCACTTGATCAAAATTCATTTGCTTGACAATTTATTCATATTTATTATGGTTGCAGTATCCTAATGTTATGTGATCATATTTTGCTACATTTTGACGAGCAGAGTTAATGCAGAAACCATAGTCGTATAACAACAGTGTTACTAACTTAACAACTCCAATGGTTCACTTAACAATGGTGGCAAGAAAGGTTGTAAAATAGGACAAAGTTCACTTAACAAATGTCTCACTTAGCAACAGAAATTTTGGGCTCAATTGTGGTTATCAGTCAAGGACTACCTGTATATTTAGAATTATAAATTGTGCTAATATTGTAGATGCACAGCCTGAGAAGCAACATAAAAATATGACAAATAAGCATAAAAAAATCTGTTTTATGGAGATAAAATTTGGCCAGATTCCTTGTACACTTAGCCCTGTAATCCTGGAAAGATAATTTATTTTAGCCCAAAGGGCAAATTGGGAGCTACTGAACATTAGGGAATAGTGTTACATTATGGAATGGGTTCCCCCTCCCTCTCCTACACACACACACACACACAAACACACACACACACACACACACACACACACACACACACACACACACACACATATATATATATATATATATATATATATATATATATATATATATATACACATACACACACATACACACACACACACACACACACACACCATTCATATAGTGGATATAAAAAGTCTGTTAAAATGCCAGGTTTTTGAGATGTAAAAAAATCAGATCAAGGTAAAGCACTTCAGATTTTTTTTCCACATTTAATATAATATATAAGTGGTACAATTTAATGGGAAAATAAACTGAAATCTTTCAATAATGTGGTTATTGTACATAAGTGTGCACACTCTTAAATTAATACTTTCTTGAAACACCTTTTGATTTTATGATACAATTCAGTCTTTTGGAGTAGGAGTCTATCAGTTTGGGAATCTTTCCCCTTTTTTCCTTGCAAAAGCACTCCAAATCTGTCAGATTGTAAGGACATTTCCCATGCACATCCCTATTTAGCACATCCCACAGATTTTTAATTGGATTCAGAACTGGGCCTTGGCCAGATCATTCCCAAACTTTGATCTTCTAAAGCCATTGTTTATTTGGAGATATGCTTTGGGTCACTGTCATGCTGAAAGGTGAAATTTCTCTTCATCTTCAGCATTTTAGCAGAGACCTGAACATTTTGTGCAAAAATTGACTGATATTTCCTCTACCTTGACTAAAGCCCACTTCAAACTGAAGAAAAGTAGCTGAAAAGCATAATGCTGTCACTACAATGCTTCACAGAGGGTATGCAGTCCTTTTGTACCAAACATATTTTTGGGAATTATGACTAAAAAGTTAAACCTTGGTCTCATCAGACCATAAGACATTTTCCCAAATGCTTTTGTCAGACTTGATGTAGGTTTTGGAAAATGTAGCTAGGCTTGGATGTTTTTCTTTGTAAGAAAAGACTTCCATCTTGCCATCCTACTCCACAGCCCATATATATAAAGAATATGGAAGATTGTTGTCATGTGTAGTATACAACCAGTACTTGCCAGAAATTCCTGCAGCTTCTTTAATATTGTTGTAGACTTCTTATCAGCCTCTTGGACCTGTTTTTTAGAGCAGGGCTTTTCAACCAGTGATACGTGTACCACCTGTGGTAATTGGCACCTGGCAGGTGGTACGTGACCATCCTAGAAAAGTAGCGGGTGAGGGGAATGAGCTGAACCGGTGGCAGTACTGCACAAGCATGAGCAAGAGATGGCTGGAGCTGCAGGGCTGTCAGGGCTCAGTGGAAGCTCCAGGATCAGTGCCAGGCTCCAGCTGATCGGCGCTTCTTCAGGGCTGTCAGGGCTCAGTGGAAGTGCCAGGATCAGTGTCAGTGCTTCCGCTGAGCCCTGAAGAAGCACCAGTCAGCTGGAAAGCAGCACTGATCCTGATGCTTCTGCTGAGCCCAGAAGAAGCACCGATCACTTGGAATGTTGCAGCATCTTCAGGGTCTTGTGATTTACATTCAGATGCTTGGCAACTGATTCATATTTATGATGGACACTGTCCCAGGATCATGTGAAGTGACCAAAACCTGCTGCAACCACCAGCAGACGGGGGGAATAAAAACCAAACACCCCCCACCCCATCCCCACTGCCAATCCTCAACAGAAATGCCTCACAACAATGAAAACCTCGGACAGAAGGAAGAGCGTGACCAGGCGGGCAGGCGTCTTGCTCGGCTGTGCCTGGGGGGGGGACTTTTTTCAGTGCTATTGTAACTCTGAACAGTCACTAAGCGACTACCTGTACTTTAGCACTTTTTTCCTTTTGGGGGGGGGTCATCAAGTTTTTGACACCTTGTTAGGTGACTGGTGGTATTCAGATATTGCCATATCCTAAAAGTGATACAATGGGTGAAAAGGTTGAAAAGTTCTGTTTTAGAGGGACATGCAGTTCTTGGCAATGTTACTATTACGTCATATTTTCTCCACTTGTGGATGATTGTCTTCATTGTGTTTCATAGCATATCCAATGCCTTGGACTTTTTTTTGTATCCTTCTCTTGATTGATACCTTTCAACAATCAGATCCCTTTGATGCTTTGTAAGGTCTTGGAAGAGCATGGCTTTTAATGTAATGAGCCGAGGTGGCGCAGCAGTTAGAGTGCAGTACTGCAGGCCACTTTAGCTGACTGTGTTCAGCAGGTCAGCGGTTCAAAGGTTGACTCAGCCTTCCATCCTTCCGGGGTAGGTAAAATGAGGACCCAGATTGTTGGGGGCAATGTAAATATATATATACATTGCTTACTGGTGTACATCGCTTAGAGAGTGCTTGCACTTAAAGCGGTATATAAGTCTCAT